CTGGGCCAGCACTCTCATCTGGAGCGTGTTTTATATGCTGGAATAGCCATACATAACAATCATGTGTGATTCCACAGAGAATCACATGTAATGATGAGATATCAGCCTTAAATATGAGGTCTACTATGTGCTACCACACACACACTCAGGCTACCAAGGTGACATGAGGCCACATACGGTATGGGCGTGCTGCAAACGGGCTGTTCGAGCCACGTTGCCACGGAGACACTGTCATGGTGGCTGCGCCTCTGCTGCCTCACAGAGTGTCACCCGTGGTGACACCAGATGTTCAGGACTTCAGTGTGCATGTGTGAGTCAGCGCACATGTGTGTCTGTGTATGTAGATAAGCCCTCGAGTGGGCACGCTGAATGAATACCTGCGCTTTCACTCCAGCAGGCAGAATATCAGAAATCAGTTGTGTGTGTGTGTGTGTGGAAGCGTGTGGGTGTGTCTGCGCTGAAGAGATGTTTTCAAATTCAGTCAGGCTTCCTATTGCTTAAACATCCCCCCTGCGTCATCTACACACCCACAGACATTTGCTCCATGGTGCGTGTGTGTATTTGTGTGTGTGTGCAGTCATTTTTGTGTGTGTGCGCTCGCAACACATACGTAATGGTCCATTTTCTTTAATGCACTGAAGGCATCATTGAGTGGGATGAATATTTGATATACAAAGAAGGATTTGGTGCAGTAAAGGTTTATATCAGATTACTTTTTTGAACTGAGGGTGCCACGAGGTGAACGTTTTCAGGGATTTATGATGTACCAAATAAGTGTTAGATTTGCCATGAGGCATTTAGTTTAACTCTAGTGCTCGTGTGTGTGTCTGTGTGTGTGTGTGTGTGTGTGTGTGTGAGACATAAAAGACCTTGAATGAGTTGCTGAAGACAAGAATGTGAATGAAGCTCCAGTATATGAGATGGCACGCAGGTATGCATAGAAACAAACACAGCAGCATGCATGCACACTACAGCGCCTGTCGCTATCAGATACACACATTCGTTCATGATACACACACCCATATCCGAATGTTCTCGTCCCCAGACCTTTTTTTACTCTGTATGCAAAACGCAGAGTCATTAGCAGTACGCAGGCAGAAATGTGTGCTTACAGGAGCGTGCTGAAGTAGTTAGGCAGCCGTCGTTTGTGTGTGTGTGTGTGTGTGTGTGTGTGTGTGTGTGTGTGTGTGGGTGGGTTTGTGTGTTTGTGGCAGAGTATGGATGATTTTTGGAAGCCTGTCTGCGCTCTGCCCATCCTGCCTCTGTTGCCATGGTGATTCCTTCATCTCCAAACCTGAACATGTATTTGTGGACTTTGTGAATGTGTTCGAGTCAGATTTATTTACTGTATAACAACAGGTTTGTTTGTTTTTGTTTTGTTTTTTTATTAACAAAACAGATTTGTTACAGAGTCTCACGGGAGGCAGACGGAGAACATTGCGTATAAAATCCTCAAACAAGAGGAAATAAACCACGTGGGATGGGCGGGCGAAGCTTTTATGCGAGTTGCATTTCTTGTAATGCAGTGAGGGGGTAATTGTTTGTTACGGATGTGGGTTTTACAAATGGGGAAGATGTCAAGATGTAACTTAATTGCGCCGACATGCAAATGGGTGTGTGTGTGCGTGCATGTGCGTGGCGCTGTGGACGACTGTTAGCTGAGAGACAGGCAGCGGAGGGGATTAGATAAATCAACAGCTCCAGCTGCAGCAGAGCTTAGGTAATAAGGCTCCGGCACAAACAGGCTAAATATAGAGACAACTGACTGACTGACTGCCTGCCCACAAACTGCTACCTTCTAATACACACACACACACGCACACACACACGTTGCTGTGGATGCTTCCCTTCTTCGGCCCTTTGCTTTACTCACAGTGGTGCAGATATTCAGGGCTAAACTTCAGAAAAAGAGTTTACATTAATCCTCTGTTTATAGATTTCAATCCAAAACATGTTTTCTGATTGGACAGTTTTTATACTTTATATTTGGACTTTTTTTGGCACGATTTTGGGGGAAAAATGATGTGATTTTTTTCTCCCTGCAGTATTAAAAATAATGATGTCATGGACCGAGCAGCCAAAGCACAAAAAACACAGGTTTAACAGCAAAAAAGGTGGGTTTATTTCCCCCAAAACACTTTGTGTCCCCTCTCTGAAGACACAAAGTGTTTTAGCAAGTGGAAGCACCTTTTTGTAATTGTTTTAAATGAGAATGAAGCTTTTTGCTTGTGGTTTTTGTGTTGCGACCCACCTTGCGTTTCTGCGCTCTAGGGGCCTTGAGTTTTTGCCGGAGCAGTCTGGACTCCTCAAGCTGAAAAATCTTTGACTTCATCCTCTTTTTCGCCATTGCCCAATCGGATGATTTGACAGGTGGGCCTTCTGTGGTAGTCATGACAACAATCACAATCACAGTTGGTAAACAATGGAGGAGAAACTGGTGGTAGCGGTTGCTGGATACCCAGAGCTGTGTGGCCCGATGAGAGACAGCAGGTTGTCAAACTGCCCCTAAGTCATCCTAAAATATGTCTTGAAATGGCCATCATGGAGGTGAAGCTCTGGGACCAACTGGTGATGCTCCCCGTGATCCACCCTCTTTTTTAGGGTCTCATGTGCCCACACAGATCTCTGTTTCCCTGTGCCCAACAAACTATTTACTGACAGCCTCTCACCCTCAACCAGAGCTACAGCAAGTACCCTCTGCCTGAACATTTTAGCAACTAGATACTAAATACTGTGTAATAAATGAACATAGTGACATAGTGACATTACATTTTTTTAAAAACAGACAGTGCAGTGTCCATAGGCGCTTGAAAGTGCTTCCAACATTATTGTCCTATTTCAGGCCCAGCAAGCAGACTTTGGGGCACACTGGGAAATTGACATTGAAAAACTCTGACATAAGAGATATCACTTCTAACCAGAGTGTTTTACCAACTGGATGGTCCCAGAGCAAATGGGATAAAGAATTATGCCAGCATACGTCTTGATGTTTGTCATCCATCTTGGATAATCTCACAAGAGTAATATATGCTCTGCACAGAATCTCATATCATATAATCCTAAATCTCATGTATTTAGGAGCTCTCAAAGCAGATGTCCAAATTATTTTCCACTGGGAAGCAGTCAGATATATATAGGTCATGCTCCTAAGCCAGCTGGACAGTGTAATATGTGTAATATATAAGGAAAAGGCTTGGCTGTTACATTAGTCGTGGGAAATGAGAACTATGTTTTCCTTGACATTGCATGCTCTGCGATGCGACTATGGTGCATTTGCACATTGCAATGTTGATACTGAAACAATATAGCGTGCAGCCCTGCTTTATATTATCACCAGCATGTCTCGTCCTTCACTGTCAGACTCACGGATGAATATAAAACTCCTGCCCTCCCTCTGCATTACTTACATTTGGTTGCAGCTCCTTGCTTCTCCTCCCCTTGTCAGGCATCCCTGCCCTTGCTCCCTGGTATTGGGGTTATGTTTCAGGCACCTCACAGTCACTCTTTTTCAGCTGTGACCTTCCCTGGCGCTCTGTAGCACCCACATCATCTCTTAAAGGCAGGGGAGGTTAGGTAAATTCTGCAGCCACGTGGCACGCAGAGCGAGGAGATTTGACATAAGGCTGTCTGGAGGGTAAAGCACAGACAGGAGGGGGGGCGAGGGGGGCAGCGGAGCATTTTGTGCTGTCTCCGCTGACATGCAAATGGTCACACACACACCAACGCACGCATGCACACACACATAGCCATTGGGGACTGCCTGGCCTGACAGAGCCATCCATCACAACCTTAAGTGAGCTTATGTCTTCGAACAGCCTTTTAGAGCCTCGGAGTGATTGGCAGCTCTGTCCTCCTCGGCTGACCTTTTCCGCAGGTTCAAAGACACTTGCTTTCCACCTTAACCCTCTCCATACATCACTCTGAGATGGGGGTGAACTATATGCTTTATTGCCTGGTTTAGATGTGTGAGTGCTGCATTACAACTTAAAGGGACAGTTCACCCTCAAAATCAATAATATGTCTTTTTTCCTCTCACCCGTAGGGCTATTCATCATCTAGATTGTTTTGGTGTGAGTTGCCGGGTGTTGGAGATATTGACCTACCTCATCTTAAATAAAATGGATCTAGATGACCTAGTTACTCAAGATAATCCACAGACCCTGTTGTGAGCAGTTCATGCAGGAACTATTTTCTTTCCACTGAATTACACCCACCAACTGTATCACCACAGAAGGAAGCGTGCATCTACTCATGGACAATAATTTTCCAATTAATAGTCATTAGCAGTACGCAGGCAGAGCTGTGGATCAGAGGTAGACCACCAATTGGAGGATTGGCGATTTGATCCCCGGCTAGTAGCAGGTGGCACCTTGCACGGCAGCCTTGGCCACCAGTGTGTGAATGGGTGAATGTAACATGTAGTGGAAAAGCACTTTGAGTGGTCGGAAGACTAGAAAAGCAGTATACAAGTGCAGTCCAATTACTGTTACTGCTAGCTCACGTAGCACCACTGAGCTAGCTAACATAACAGCTCATAGAGATGGACGCCGATAACGTTCTAATGTTTACATCTCATGCTGCTACGAGCAAGAGCCTCTCGTCCATGAGTAGATGCACACATCCTTCTGCGTGGTGATTTAATTGGTGGGTGTAGTTTGGCAGAAGGAAAATAGTTCCTACATGAACTGTTCACAACAAGGTCTGTGGTTTATCTTGAGTAACCAGGATGTGATTTTTGGAAAGAGACATTGCTGTTGAGTTTTTAAATGGATTTTTTGGGTGCTTTGAGCACGACAAAGGGACAACTACTTTCATTATATTCAAGAGAAGGCCGACATCTCTATGGCTATCTCTAACACTTGGCAACTCACACCAAAACAATCTAAACAGAAAAGTAGCCCCACAGATAAGAGGAAACATGTATTTTTTATTTTGGGTTGAACTGTCCCTTTAAAGAGAAGACCACTCCTGATATGTCTCTCTGTTTGTCTCTCTTAAAGGTCCTCCAAGGCTCACCCTGGACCAGTTGTCCACATAAGCGACAACCCCATGGATGAGGGAAAGGTAAAGGACAACACCTCTCTGCCCACACATGCAAATACATGCAAACTCTACATACATGTGCTGTTTTTGATAGCATATGTCATCCTGTCTCCTTTAGCTGTCACACAGTAAATCCACAAACAGCATTACACTGCACACACTCTAAAACAGCAACATGTTACTTTAATGACAATTTGGCACAGTATCACACAGTTTACTCTCCATATTCACTCTCTATACTTGTTAAGCCACTTGTCTCATGTGCCACTGTGATTTGTTTTGCTTTTTTACCAAGTACAGTAAGTTGACTGGCTGAGAAGGCAATGATTACTCACCACACACCCTCTCATATACACTCACTGGCCACTCTATTAGGTACACCTGTTCAACTGCTCGTTAACACAAATAGCTAATCAGCCAATCAAGTGGCAGCAACTCAATGCATTAAGGCACGTAAACACGGTCAAGACAACCTGCTGAAGATCAAACCGAGTACCAGAATGGGGTAGAAAGGTGATTTAAGTGACTTTGAAAGTGGTATGGTTGTTGGTGCCAGACGGGCTGGTCTGAGTATTTCAGATTATCACACACAACCATCTCTAGGGTTTACAGAGGATGGTCTGAAAAGAGGACATATCCAGTGAGCAGCAGTTCTCTGTGTGAAAATGCCTTGTTGATGCCAGAGGTCAGAGGAGAATGGCCAGACTGGTTCAAGATGATAGAAAGTCAACAGTAACTCAAATAACCACTCGTTACAACCAAGGTCTGCAGAAGACCATCTCTGAACCAACAACACGTCCAACCTTGAAGCAGATGGGCTACAGCAGCAGAAGACCACACCAGGTGCCACTCCTGTCAGCTAACAACAGGAAACTGAGGCTACAGTTCACACAGGCTCACCAAAACTGGACAATAGAAGATTGGAAAAACGATGCCTGGTCTGATGAGTCTGGATTTCTGCTGCAACATTCAGATGGTAGGGTCAGAATTTGGTGTCATGGATCCATCCTGCCTTGTATCAACGGTTCAGGCTGCTGGTGGTGGTGTAATGGTGTGGGGGATATTTTCTTGGCACACTTTGGGCCCCTTAGTACCAACTGAGCATGGTTTAAACACCACAGCCTACCTGAGTATTGTTGCTGACCGTGTCCATCCCTTTATGACCATAGTGTACCCATCTTCTGATGGCTACTTCCAGCAGGATAACGCACCATGTCACACAAAATCTCTGAGGAATGTTTCCAGCACCTTGTTGAATCTATGCCATGAAGACAGTGCTGAAGGCAAAATGGGGTCCAACCCGGTACTAGCAAGATGTACCTAATAAAGTGGCCAGTGAGTGAATATTCAGCTTTGCCTATCTTTTTTTTCCACAGAACACACTGTGTCACAAATAAAACTTGAATACAGTCTCATTGTCCCAACACACATGACGTAAAGCTTTATTGGGTAATTCCCACTGCACAGTTAAAGTAGTTAAGTTCACTTGATCTGCTTTGGTGACACATTTGAAGTTCTATGAATAAGTCTTCCAAAAAAAACCCACATAGTTTATGTTTAAAACAAAATCTTTTTGCATTTTCTGTCACCCTCTCTTGTGATCCGGGGTGGGCAGATTTCTTCCTGAGCCACCGTAGTCTGCTTACACCTGACTTCCTTTCATGCTGTGTGAGAATGTCAAATGTATTACTTCTTTTTCCGCCCATCATGGGGTCTATTCTATCTCCTCTCTGTCATCTCTCCCACCTATCTCACTGACTGCCTGTCGCTCTTCCTCTCCAGCTTATAATTGGATTTGAGTCTGGGATCGTGGTCCTGTGGGATCTGAAATCAAAGAAGGCTGACTATCGCTACACTTACGATGAGGTAGGCAAATCTCCCCTATTTCCTTTCTTCTCTAATGGCTTTCAGTCATTCCTCCCACTTCTGATCCGCAGAGTATCTTTTAATACAAAAACTGGGAATTAAATCACATATTCATGAACTCAACTGTATACAGTTGTGTGTGTGTGAGTCTGTATGTGTGTGTGTTAGAAGTTATTCTTAGAACAAACCTAGAATACGAGATATTTTCCTACAACAGACGGAGCTTGTGAGTTCAAACTGTGTACTCACATTGCACACACACACACACACACACACACACACACACACAATACACAGACACACACTTCAGTATGTTACTATCCTCTCTCATCAGCAGGTAGCAAAAGAGTGCTGACTGGGAAGAAATGCGACATTCTACTTCCTGTTTGATTTCAGTATAGCTATAGAAGGGGACAGGTCAGTCTGTATGGGAAATAACAGCTCTAATGTGCAGTTTAATGAAGATGAAGTGTGGCTTGCCAGAGTTTTACAGCCAGCGCTAACAGGATCCACTAACTGGATTTGTGCTATCCAGCTATGAGGAGAATGAAGACGCTCATCAAAGTAATTCCCTAACAAACTTTTAATTAGAGATACTCAAAGACGGATTTTGTGACCTTTGGACAGAGCTGGGCTAACTGATCTGCCCTGTTTTCAGTCTTGCTGAGTTGCTATGCTAAGTTAGCCGGCTACTGACTGTAGTTTTATATTTAGGGCAGTAGCTGGGTCTCAATTCAGGGGCTGCAGCCTTTGAAGGACGCAGCCTTCGTGGTTGACGTTGGCCACGTCCTTTAAAGACCGCATCAGCCAAATCAAACAATTTTTGAAATGGGACAGTCTGCTCTGTGGAGGATTTCCTGGCTGCATCACCAGTTGTTCTCGCCCTGACCTGTTGACATTCCTGTTACCTAGCAACCAGCTGTGCTTGACGAAAGAAGGAGTAAGCTAGGAAGTTAGTTAGTTCATTTAATATTTGAGGACTTGATTAACCACCGGAGATGCCGCTGTTTGTTGTATTTCAGGTTGATGGAGGACAGTTTTCAGGTAAACTTATTAAATTAAGATTGTTTAAGCTGTGTGCTTTTAGCGAATAGTGATGTTAACAACAATTAACCGTTAGCTAGTTAACAAATGTTAGTTAACTTAATATATACTCATCACCGGCGAGCAATGCATGGGTGGGTTTTATCCATTGCATTCCCCAAATTCTGGGAAAGAAGGCTGCATCTGAAGGAGCCTTCAAAATGGGACAGCCTTGGTCACACCAATGTGACGCCATCAGTCTCCAAATGCAGCTTTTGAAGGCTGCATCCCCTGAGTTGAGATACAGCTAATGTCTTGAACATTTTTCAGGCCAAGGACCCCTCAAGTTGAAAAGAGATGGAGCAGGGACCCCCTACTACATATATTGTATAAAATTCAGTTGCACTTGAGATAATTATCGGAATACTTTTGGGTTTTATCTTGTGTGCGCCTGCCTGTAGCTGCTACTTCAGCAGCAGTTGTAGCATGGCTAGGTGCCTTAGCCTCCCCTTTGCACTTTCGTCATTGGACGGTGTGATAGAGTCTCTTGTTTGAAAAATTACAGAACAGTCTATTGTTATTCCAAGAATGTTCACATTCTTGGAATAACAATAAAGCTAATTGGCTGAGATGTTTTAATAGTACGTGAATGTTAGCTCACTCGTTCACCTCGGCATTAACGATGAGTGCCGCAGATGATTAAGCATTAGCTAGCTCACACGATTTCACAAAGACACATGGGAAACAGATAGCCCACCATACCGTCCACCAGGAATGAGTCCTAAAACCTGGAAATGATGCCTCGTTTCCACTTATGTGTACGGAGACGCGACAAACTGAATGTCCATTTATTCCAATGGGAAACTCCATTATGTCTGATGTGCCTGCGAAACTCCTCCCCTTCATTGTATTTCCGTCCTGAATTTGTCCGTCCTGAATATTTGGATATTCGAATATTCGTTTCTATGGGTAGGTATTCGTTATGAAAATTTGGTTTTCGATATTTGTTTTTTTATTTACTTATTTTTTATTATTATTATTATTATTATTATTGTTGTTTTTTTTACATATTTTTTGGTGCTAAATGTAGTCTTTCTGTTGTTGGTAAATGTAGGTTATCAATAAAAATCAAAACTTTTAAATTGCATTGTTAAAAATGTGAAAATATAGTATAGCCTACCAATTGCGCTTGTGTGGACGGCATGCTTGAGCGCATCCGTCTGAGGCTGTGGATCAATGCCAAGTTTTACCACTTTATCACTATTCCCTCTAACTTGTGGCTGTATTTTCGTTATCTTTTGAATTTAATATGAATTATGGAACCGTTTTTGTCAACGTCTGTTTCCCCTGTTTTGTACAATAAATTATTGTTTAAAGTTTCAACAAGTTTCTTTTGGAGTGCATGACACAAGTGTGTTTTGAAAATGACCGCGGACTGTCACCTACTCAATGCATCAGTACCTTCAGATGCCATGACAGTAATAGATTATAGATTAATAGATTATAATAATAATGTCAAAATACATTAAATACATCATAAATACATTACATCATTTACAGACCGATTTAACAGACGATCACTGCTGCCCAACCCGCAGGTCCATTTGCGGGTCCCGCGGGTTATGGGTCGACCCGTGCATCCCTACTCAGCTCAGTCTATAAAGGCTGTACACAACATAGACATTATATTCTATTCAGGCCGGCAGAACCAGCAGCACATCGGCTCTACAGTGCACGGCACTGCTGATTAACCATTTTATTGCAGCACAGAGTGTCTGCCAGCAACCAATGACTTGCAGAGGTTTCCTACAACTTCCGATTTAATCAGAAGACAAATTAAACAGGATGACTAGCCAATGTGAAAATCAAAAGAAAGCATAGAATAATGTACTGAAGGAGACTGTTGTGCCATCACATTTTTTTGTGGGTAGAGAGCAACAATCCGGTCGCCGCTGTGCAAAACTCCGCAATACAATTAGGTCCGAAAAAACCCCGGAGTCCGCTGAAGCTTCTCTGTGTCTTAAAAAAAGCGGTTGCTAACAAGTGGCTAAATGAGACTACAGAATGTCATCACGCTGAGCCCTGCTGAACATAGCTTTACAGTCTTGTTATGGTGGTGACACAGTTTGTTTATAGCCTAACGTTAGCTTTTTACTCCTGGCAATTGCATTTAGGCTTTAATGATTATGAACATGGTGTTCATTTGTGAAGATTATCTTGGGGAACAAAACGTGTAAGTATCATAAACATTTGTATGCCACAGAGCTTATTACTGGCAGACATCATCCAAGGAGCACTCTATTAATGTTGAGTACTCTAAATTAAATGTTTTTCTATGAATATGCTGATTTAGCTTTGCTAATATGTTGGATTCATATTAATGTGTATTTTCAGACATATTTAAATTTCTTTGAAAAAACAAATATCAAAGAATAATTTAGCGGCACCCTGCAGTAACTCTGAGGACCCCCTGGAGGTCGCATACCCCCGTTGAGGACCCAGGATTGAGCATACAGACATGAGAGTGGTATCACTCTGAAATAAGCATATTTCCCAAAATGCTGAACTTTTCCTTTGACATGGGTTGCTTCTTTAGAAAGTATGAATCTGTCTTCACGATATATAAACAGCCTCTTCGGCTGGTGCTGCCATCACGGCCGAAGCTGCTTGTCACTCGAGTAGTGCCGTTTACAAAGAACAACAATTTGTGAAATGCATGTTTTAACAATGTCATGATTTATACAGTGGAGTGCCATGTGTTGATGTCTCTGGAGTGATGCTGCAAGGTTGCACAGTGATTGCGCTTGCATATTGCAGCTGTAAAAAAGGGGCAGCATTTTGTAAAAGGTCCACCTCTTTAAAGCACTGAGTCATGTGGCTTTATTGGCGTCCCCAGAGGCAACAGTGTGTGTCTATAAATAAAAGACGACATGACAATAAAAAAAGAGACACCGTGTCAGAGCTGCTCGGATCCTCTCTGGACCTTGCATGTGTAAAACCCAGACCACGCCTGTTATCTATTACCTGATTACCTAAGTCTTGTTTCCAGTAATGTCGTCGCTGTATTTGAATTGTTTTTATGATCTATCATGGATGTGATAAAATGTGTGACAGCCTTTTTTATGCTGGTTTTGGAGAATCTTTCCATGTACATTAACTCCATGTGTCTCTGCTTAAATGCGATGCCATTCATAAACTTGTTGCTGAGGCTTAAGCCGACTAAATGGATGTGGACACACACACACATGATCATACAGTGGTGTCCGCAGCACTTAGACACAGAGCCAAACCGCCTGTTTAAGATAATGAGATTATTGTAACACTCATGCTGGTGCTCACCTCATTGGCAGTGCTGTGGTGCTGTAAGCACGCTGAGATAACAAGAGTCACCGAGGACTACATGGACACAAAAATGGGAGTGGATTTTGTATCTTCAATCTGTACGGTCCTCTCTCTCTGTCTCACTCTCTCAGATAAGCTAATATGCTCCCGCTGCTCGTAGGGCATTACAGTCTCTCGTATTGACTCTCCCAAGGGAGCTCATCTCTTCTCTTCAAACCCCTACAGTTACACCTCTCCAGAGACTCGGGGGTTGAGTGGGTGGGAGCGGCTCCTCATTTCGCTCACTATATGATTCACACTGACGAAGGGAAAGAGGCCTGCACCACACAGCCATTCTTTCCTCTCCTTTGGAATGCCGTGGGGTTATTCCCCCCGGCTAACACATCCAAATGGTTATTAGAGTCAGAAATATTTAAAGTTTAATTCGGCCCCAGATCAGCCTTCAGGGGCACTGAAGACAACCCTTGTGTTCTCCTGTGTGGCATCACCAGTGAAATGTGGATGTGATCAGGCCATGACTTCTCTGTTATTACTGTAGTGGACAGGGCTGTAGCCACCTCTAATTAAATGGACTAAAGAGTGAATGTTGTGGAGTGTGAACACAACAGGGCTGTGTGAGGGTATGGATGGGTCGT